GACGAAGGAAGGAAGAAAGGAAAGGATAATTTTAAGGAGGGGGGAGGATGTAAAATATAATCGCGCGGACGTAGAACTTGAGGAGGCATCGCGTGCGAGCGGCTGTTGCAAAAGCGGATAGCGCGATACCAGCAACGTCGCGTGCACTGACGTATCTATGAATAAATAGAATTACGCTAATCGTGTAGGTTACATCATAATATACGGAACTACTCATACGCCGCGGGCGTAGATACGCGGCCTTCGCCGCGTCTTTTTTCCTCGTACGAAGAGAATCGTCGAGCACAAGATCCCCTCTCCTCTCCTCACCAATTCGAAGGAAAATGATCATTTCGAAATATCTGAAATTGGAAAATTCGCAGGAGAGATCGAAATTGACATTCCCTTCCACTCTTTTCCAAGGATATAATTTCTACTTTATTTATAAGTCTCGTTCCAAAAAAGAGGTATGCAAGGATATATCTAATTACGTTCCGTCTCTCGAAAAGAAAAATTCTAAATATCGATCGAAGAAAAAGAGGAACAATCCAATTGTAGTTTTCTTTCGAACTATTTTACCCGATTTATCTTAGATATATGGCATTAATTCAAATTACGTAATAACGCGCGTTTATCGCGTGTCGAAGAAGCTCGAATAATTTTGCAATTGGAAATGCGACACCATGTCGCTCACATGAAACAAATATCTTGAGGAACCGTTGCAAGAGAAATTAGACCGAAACTGTTCCAACAGATTTCATTGGGAAAAGTGCGCATTGTTGCTGTTCCTGTAAAGCGATAAGTTGACACGGAGAAACGGAGCGAGCGAATGGGAAGAAAAAGGAAAAAGCGAGTGCTCGATGAAGCGTGAATTTAAAACGCAATGCATCCGATATCTCTGATGAAAAAAAAATAGTAAAAAGTATATATTACAAGCAGCGATATCGATAATTGTTGGCAAATTCGACGCGAGAAACACTCGAATATCAAGCGTGTGTACGTATATATGTGTAAGTGTATTGGTTTTTCGAGGAATTTTAATCCGTGCACAGGAAATTTATTAACAGCGAAACGCACGCGTATGGTCAGTCGTTTTCTATTCCAACGAATTGGGAATTAGAAAAGGAATGATTGGAAACTTGATTTATCGCTATATAAGTAAATTGGTTAGTCTGGCAAGAGGTGTACTTTTGTTGTACATTAGATGGAATTATATTAAACGCGCGTAAGATTTTTTTTTTTTTTTTTTGTTAAGAAGAAGGAAAAATTGCAGATTCTAATTTCAACTTTTGTTCAAAATTTGAGGATGAGGCTAGCGTTATTTACTTGAAGATGAATTTGTTGGGCGAGTCTTGTTGACTCGAACGATCATTTATTTCGAGCAACAAGATCTATATGTCAACCTATTCAGATCTAACATGGAAAAAAGCGGATGTAAGAAGGGAAAAACCAGTTTGCAACTACCGCTTGTCAACGTATAAGCTGTATTAATCAAACCATTCAAATGCTTCGTATTCATTCTCTATTGTATCGAACTAGTTATCCGATTTATTTTTAACCATACCACTTTCTATTTGTTATTTTAATCCGTGCAGAGGGACGGAGAATATGTGAAAAATTGATAATAAACGAGAAATTAGATTTTTTAAATCGATAGCAGGCTATATATATTTAAAATTTTTGCTATTCGTATTATTCATCCTATTTTCACAAATTAAAGGACAAGACCGCTGTTGATACTCACCTCAAATATCCATCACCCTGTTACTCCACATCATAACACTGCTACTCAACGTATTTTCCACGTATTATCCCTCCTTAAATTATCTTTATTACTATCGTTGAGGTTAGAATTCAACATTCCCCGCATACTGTCCCTCCCTAAATTATCATTTCAAATATCACAGTTACAAATATATACTTTCTTATCCCACTATCTGGTTATAATTCCAACATTTTCCACATACTATCCCTTCCTATATCATCATTCCGAATACCATAATTACAAGTACCAACGTAACAACTTTCTTATCCCAATGTAATTCAACATTTTCCACATATTATCTCTCCCTAGATTATCATTTTTGTTATCTTTATTACTATCCTTAGCGTTGTGATTCAACATTTTCCACATATTATGCCTCCCTAAATTATCATTTCAAATATCATAATTACAAGTACCACCAACAAACATAACAACTTTCTTAACTCCAAACACCATATTATTATCCTGCATATTATACTTTCAATATAATTTGACATTTATATGTATAATTATATGTATAATTAATTATATAGATAACAAAAGTAATAAAAATGATAATCTAGGGAGAGATAATATGTGGAAAATGTTGAATTACATTGTGATAAGAAAGTTGTTACGTTGGTACTTGTAATTATGGTATTTGAAATGATACATATAACATTTTTCTATTACATCTTTCTGTTTGCATTATCTTTCCCTACATTGCCATTTCAAATAATTACAACTATATATACTTTCTTATTGCAAATCCCACTATCTCATTATAATTCCAAAATATAATTCAACATTTTCTACGTGTTATCCCATCTTAAATTATCATTTTAAATACAATTGCCATTAACGAATATAACAATTTTTTTTACTTCAAATCCCATATTACTATCCTGTACATTATACTTACAGTTCAACATCCTTCATTATCCTTCCCTAAATTAGCATTTCAAATACCATAATTACTATCACCAACAAATTATATACTTTCTTATTCCAAATCCCACTAAATTCCAACCATTTCAAATAATTATTATCAATAAACATACGCATTTCTTATTCCAATTCCCATATTACCATCCTCCACATGCAATTATAATCCCAACATATAATCCAACATTTTCTATCAACATTTCTTTTCTATTATTCTCTAAATTATTCAATTTCAAATAACCATAATTGCGACTACCACCAACTACTCTCTTACTCCAAAACCCACTATAACCGTAATTTCGACGACCACCCCCTCACCCCGATCGTTGTTACAAGCCAAACCAATCACTTCTTTCTTTTTTTTTTCTTTTACAGAAGTTCGTGTTCCACGGTTTACTTCGGCGACATAGGTACGGGATCGGGGGTGGGAGAAGTAACCGGCGCCTCGGCGGGGGGTGGCGAAGGCCTCAGCCTGACTCCAACCCCCGCCACCGACAACACCACGAGCACCGCCACCCCCAGCACCACCATTACCATCGCCACCACCGCCACCACCACCACCACCACCACCACCGCCGCCGCCGCCGCCAACCACACCACCCCGCGGATCGTGACGGGGGCTGAACCGCCCCAGCACATGGAGACACCCCCGGCCATGGTCCCCGACCAGGCACCCGCCCCCGCCCACCACTACCACCGCGCTCACCACCACCACCACCACCACCACCACCACAATCATCACCATCATCATCATCAACGAAGCGCCTCCACCACCCCCACCCACCACGGCCCGGCCACCGCGGACACCACTTCCGACGAGTTCGTCGCCGTTTCCAGGAAGCGGAAACTCTCCTGCCAGTGAGTTTTTCTTTTCTTTTTCTTTTTTCTTTTTGAGAAGAAATTTTGTCGCCCCATTCTTTTAAATCTCGTTTAAACAAATTGGATTACGAGTGAAGAACAGGGATGGAATTGGAATTTTGGTTGTATACATGTTCTTTATTGCGTAAGAATTCGTAAGAATTTTTAATATCAATCGAGGAAAAAGTGAGATATTATTCCACGCGGTTTGAAATACAATTGAAATACAGTTGGAAGTCGTACGGAATACTCGACTGTTACACACGTTAACTCATCTGTGGAGCGAGAGAGAGAGAGAGTGTACAGGGAAGCCGGATAAACGCATTCAAGAGTGACATTTCCATCTGGAAACATATTTCTCTGCCCCCCCCGGGCTTCAACCCTTCTTGCCAATCGACTCGCCCTCCCCCTTTTCGACGACGTTTCCAACTTGGAGTAATTACTCCAATCAAGGTGTCGGTTACCCGCTCAAAGGGTTAAGTTAATGATTAACACGGGCCAAGATTCGCGTCCCTCTCTCTCTCTCTCTTGGGGGGTTCCCCCACGAAGCTCTTGGTCGAAGGCACTCGTTGACCGCGATCCATCCAATTTTCGAGCGCGTGAAATCCTTTTTTCCTCTTCTTCTTCTTCTTCTTTAATAATAACTTCCAACCTTTCCAAAGTTTGAGAAATTTATTTATTTATTCGAAGTATAAGTTCACTTTCAACATTCTTCAGTTAATTATTCCGGAGTAAATGATGCATTATATTCAACAATTGGATAAAATTAATCTGTGCGTTTTCTTTCAAATTTAGACGAATATATATATATATATATAATTGATTTGAAAAAATTAAGCAGTGGGAAGGAGGAGAATTGGTGAAATTTTCAAAGGGGTCCACCGAAGAAATTGATTCGTTGGTTACATACACCCTTTCTTGAACGGGTCTTCCTTTAATTATTATTCGCTTACATTATTAGTGTAACCAACGTAAAAAAGGAAGCTTCGATTCCTTCCTAATTCGAAATAACGAAACGTTTGTGAACACGAATTGGAGAAATAGTCCGCGACGAGGTTTCGAAGAAAAAGGGACGTATAAAAGTCGAAATGTAAAAAAGCGAGGAAAATTAAAATCCATTGAAACGTATTTTATTGTCTGTTTCAGCGACGGTAGTGATTTATTGGACGACGCGGGAGACGATGCCAAATCAGTTCGCACAAACGACGACAGTAAAAAGTAAGCTGAACGAAGAATCGATCGAGAATGAACGAAACGATCGACGATAAAAAAAAAAAAAAAATACATCACATCGAGATTAATAAGATAAATAGTTTCGATATCATTATCGATCTTTGACGAAACCGCGATTCGTTCGATTTGCTCGAAGAGAAACCGCATCACGGTTTTTAAAGCTTGGTCAACGGTTACGGTGGTATTATGTCAGGTATTGCCAAGGTACGCTCTCGCCACCTTGACCTACCTTCATTCTTTCCTCTGGCTTCGTCGATCGCGTCATTAATCCAATCTTGCCAACCTGGATTTCAAAGACGATGCAAAGAAACAAGGGAGAGGAAGGGAGGATCGAAATTCGACATCCCTTCAAATACCTTCTTTGGAAACCTTCCCCTCTTTTGATAAAAAGGATGCATTATTCGTATCTAGGTTCACGGAAAAGTTGAGAAGCTCTACAACGAATCAATTATTTTGACAGAAACACGAATTTCGACCGTACCAAGTCGATCAGACCTGTTCCAATCTTTCGTAAAATAATAATTTTTAGTTCGTAGAGTATTTTTTTTTTTTTTGGTCGAATCAATTATTTTGACAGAAACCCGTGCGAATTTAATTGGATTTGTTCCAATTTTTTATAGAGTAATACGAAATGGTAATTTTTAGTTCGTAAAGAATTTTTTTAATACGAAATGGTAATTTTTAGTTCGTAAAGAATTTTTTTGAACTCAATTGGATCTGTTCCAATTTTTCATAAAGTAATACGAAATGGTAATTTTAATTCGTAAAGAATTTTTTTGAACTCAATTGGATCTGCTCCAATTTTTCATAAAGTAATACGAAATGGTAATTTTTAATTCGTAAAGAATTTTTTTGAACTCAATTGGATCTGCTCCAATTTTTCATAAAGTAATAACGAAATGGTAATTTTTAGTTCGTAAAGTATTTTTTTTTTGGCCAAATCAATTATTTTGACACAAAGCCATACGAATTCGATTGGATCTGTTCCAATTTTTCATAAAATAATAATTTTTAGTTTATAAAGCATTTTTTTGGCCGTATAAGGAATCAATTATTTTGACAGAAACCCGTACGAATTCAATTGGATATGTTCCAATTTTTCATAAAATAATACAGATTTTTTTTTTTAGTTCATAAAGCAATTTTTTTTTTTGGCCGAAATATAAATAATGGAAAAAGTGCGATAATTAAGAGAGGTTGTTACAGCGAGGTGTACAAGGTTCGATGCGATTGAACGTTTAAATTAATAAAGAGTAGCAGCTTGTAAATCGAAACTAGTTTCTCGTGACTTCCGGCCCCGGCCAATTGATCGCCACGGGGACGATGAATGCGAATTCCTCACGGTCGAATCACCGATGCGACGCAGCTCACAAAAGAGGCGTTTATTAGCTTAAATCGCCTTTATTTATAATTGATTCAACGGCGAGACCGCGTATTCTTCTCGAGAAAGAGATCTTTAACACGACGAGGACGACGATCCCTCGATATTTTCTCCCCTCCACGATTACAAGGAATTTTTCCATTTTTCGCGTGTTATATATATATATATATCTTCCTTGTGCATCGATTACGTTCTTTTTTGGGGGGAAGAATCTTAGAGTCTACATGAAATATATATCTAAAAGATTCGCAAAAAATCTCTATATATAGTTCACATAAAAATTTCTAGAAAAATTGTTTCGAAGAAATTTCTACTACGAATCTCCATTGGATCTTTCCCCCCCCCCAAAATTTCCGATTTACACCTATCTCGAAAAAAAGTTTCTGTCTAAAGTGTATCCAAAAGATTCGCAAAAAGTCTCTATAGAGTTTTCAAAAAAATTCCTAGGAAAGGAATTTTCAAAATCCGATTCATATCTATCTCGAGAAAAATGTACAGTTTCCAAAAAATTTCTTAAAAAGATTCGAAGAAATTTCGACTAAAAATCTCCATTAATTGCCAAAGGATTCTTTCCTAAAATGCACTCTCCCCCCCCCCTCCCCCCAAAATTTCCAAAATCCGATCCGACATTTATCTCGAGAAAAAGTCTCTAAAGTGTATCCAAAAGACTCGCAAAAAATGCGTGGAAAAGGAATTTTTTGAAAGCATCCCCACAAAATTTCCAAAATTTCACATCGATCTCAAAAAAAAAAAAAAAAAAAGCCTCTGTCTAAAATATATTCCCCACACATTTCCAGAAAAGTCTCCATTGCTTGCCAAAGGGGATCCTTAAAAAAAAAGCATCTCTTAAAAGCGTCCTTCCCCCCCCCTCCCAAAATTTTCAAAATCTCACACGAATCTATCACGAATCTCTCTCGAAACGCCGTTCTAAAAACGTTTTCCCCCTGCCCCCCCTTTGGACTGTGTTCCAGGCAAAATCACAGCGAGATCGAGAAAAGGAGAAGGGACAAAATGAACACGTACATAACCGAGCTTTCGGCTATGGTGCCCATGTGCCACGCCATGTCCCGCAAACTCGACAAGCTGACCGTGCTCAGGATGGCTGTCCAACACCTCAAGACCATTCTGGGCGCCGTCACCTCGTACACGGAGGGCCACTACAAGCCGGCGTTCCTCAGCGATCAAGAGCTCAAGACGCTCATACTTCAAGTAAGTACGCCTATATAAAAGAAAAATTTGGTGTTTTTTGGTGGAAAAGATTCGACGAGTTCGAGTTTTTTATCGCGTATGATAAACGTTGGTGTTGTTGCATTCGTTAGAAATGCAAACGAATCGCGACGTTGCGCTTTATCGCGTTCGTTTTATTTATCAAACAACGGATAAATGTCAATGGGTTTTTTTCTTCGTCTCGTTCCGATCGATATTTTTCCTCCCTCTTCTTCTGTTCGTATTGGTAAAAGGAGATGGAGACCGATTTCTAAGACGAGGCGTAATAGCATCGAGAGGGATCGATCGTTGATGCAACATTGTGATTCGGCCGATAAATTTTTCACGCGGACGAGCCACCGGCTGTTACACGCTCGTTGCATCACTGGAAAATATGCGAACGGCGCGCGAGTATAAATCGCAACCTCGTTGCGCAACGACGGGATCGAGTTATTGAAAATTTTCGAATCGACAATGATTTTTTTTGTAAAAATGAAATTTACAGAGAAATTATTTACGCTAAAATAGGAGAAAAATTGATCGAAATGTGCGTTGAAAAGTTTTAAAAAAGAGCAATAATCTTTTAACCGCTGCTAAAGTAATACAAAAATCGGTTGGAACATATACCGATTCGAGGTGAAAAAGTTTAGGAAGAAAGGAGAATAGCGAGTGGGGAGAAACGAGTATCCGTTCGGCTAAAAGTCTGAAAGTGACCGATTCCGACGATGAGATTATACGCCATTACCTATTCCGTATTCGGAAAACGAGATAGGAGATACGATTGTGCATACCATTCGAGTAAGACTTCCTGGTATTTCAGAATCACTTGCGTAATTCGAATAGCTCGCCTCGAACACGTTTTCTTTATATATATATATATATCATACGCGACAATTTCGTTTCACCTTTTCATCAATTTTCATCATTACTGACTCAAGATAATTAGAGCAACAGCTGGATCGTATATAGATAAGAATGGACGTTTTTATTCCTGTTAGAAATAAACGAAGAAGAAATGCGTACTTGCTGCCAATTACGTATTCGATTGCCGATAACATTCTCTCCCCTAAATCTTCTTAGATTATTGCGGAGGAAAAAGAAAAACAATTGGATCGCGGAAGGGTTTCACTTTCGACTCCCTCTCAACGTTCGTTTTCCCATGCGATCGCGTTAAAGCCAAAGTCATTAATCCGCTAATTGGAAGCAATGCGGGGGAAAAGTTTTTACGTTGCTCGTTGTAAAAGGCCGTCCCGTGTGCGTTTTGCAATCGTAAGAGACTGTGACAGTGGTTCCCTCTTCTCGTAAGGTCGATCGAAAATTTCTTAATTTCAATCGGAGAATATTTCGATCGAAGCAATTATCGTTTCGAAAGAAATATCTCCATTTGAGAACCCCTGGTTTTTTTTCAATTAGAAAGAAACTCTTCAAACGCGTCGTTAACGATCGAGGAAGAGAATCGAATAATTTCTTAAAGAAGAAAAAAAAAAAAAAAGGAAACTCGCGTGAGAATGAGAACCACTGAGCTGTATATAGTGTATCTAATAGCCGTGGCTAACCTTTCTCCGGCGTGCTACACATTTTTCACAGAGATCGGCCTCTGTGACGGGTGAAAGAGAAGGGTACGAGGCATGTAGATCTGCAATTACGCGTCGCCGTTGATAATACCTTTTGCCCAAGCCGTTTACCTCGATCGAGCTTCTGATCATCGATTATCGACGGGATATCATCGTAACTATTTGTCGATCCTTCTTTCCACTCGCGCGATTAAATTAACTTTACAGATATTTCGCGAGTCTGTTTTATTTTTGTTTACGTAATACGAAAAAAATTTGCAAGCAACGAAGTATTATTACGCGTATGAGAACGATAAATATCATTAACATAGTATTTTGCATCGATTTATGAGCGAATAGATCGATTAAAACCGAAAAAAAAAAAATAAAATAAAGGACGAAAGCAAGTTGTTTCTCTTATCTTTGCGTGGTTTATCTTGCTTATTACTTGTCCGTTTCCTTTATCATATAGCTGGCTCGTATTGCTTGGCTGGTAATTTAAGGCCTGATACTTAAGATTGGATCAAATCATTCGACGTGTTATGAAATTGTACCATCATTTCCAAAAATGAATAAAAAAAAAAAGGAAAAAAACAACATCGAGAAAAATATTTCTCAAAACGTTTTCAACGAGGGAAAGATATCTCGCGATCTCTATCGACATTCTATTTTCACGATCCAATTTTCAAACAAGCTATAAACAAACGTTTCGCAACAAGTATAACGGTATATTGTTAACGAGTCAAGGGTGTGTGCAGAAACGAACGAACTCGGATAGTATACATATATAAGATTCGTTTCACGAATGGAATCTATATAAAAATTTCGTTGAAAATTTAAAAAAAAATCTTAATGAGACGCTTAATTTTAAATGAACAAAGGAAAAATATTAAAATACTAACCGACCAATTACTTCTAATCAACCAACAAAAAATTTTCGACGTAAAGTACAATACGTACTAAAAAAGAAAAACAAAGTCGTGCAGTTCGTAAGAAACCTATCTTCTTCCATCTCTTTAAGAATCATAATAAACATAAGACCGAGTATCGTGTAACGTCCTATACGTATACGTATTATTATACTCTCGAAGGTTTAAGAATGAGCCTCGACACGAGTTCCTTTTCACTTTAGATTCCGTCACGCGACTGAGCACAGAGCTCGTGTCGGCCGCTTGGCGGGCATTTTTCACTGTCGGCCAGATATACACGGTAAGTAGATAGGTTTATCTTTTATCGGGGAGCGCTTTCCTTGCCGGCTAAATATTCGAAACGAGTGACCACACCCGGCATACCAACCGGCTCTCGAATCGTAACCCGCCGCCAGCCACCATTATTGTCCATTGGAACTTTCATTGCCTCGCCACCGTTTATTACCACCGCCGTACGTATACGTATCCGGTTCGCGGATAAATTAACATTTCCAGGGACGTTAACCATGTAAAACCATGCATCCTTGGATCAACGTGCGTCACGTAAATGGAATAATTGTATCGGTTACTTGTGCCTCTTGGCATCCGAGTTTCTGAAAATAAACGCTTCGAAGGTAAGGATCGGTAACATAACCTCTTCGTTGCGTTATATTCCATTGATACGGCGGACACGGTATTCGGTTGTAGTATCTGTTTCGCGCGTAAATGATTGTAATTAAAGTGATGATAGGCAAGGTGTATGCAGTTGTATTCTTTCTTTCTCTTTCTTGAAAAAAAAAAAATACAGGGGAAAGAATGAAATAAAATATTTGTCGTCGTTTTGACGAGAGTTTTTTTAATTCTTTCACTAGGCTAATGTTACTAGAAATTTTTAAAACGTATAAGAAAGTGGTGAAACGTTTTTTTTTTTTTTTATGATGAAACAGAATAGATAAAACATTATTTAAATTGGAAAAAAATTTACTATACCTCATAGTGTTTGCTTATCATCGAAGTGAGGTTATGTCCTAATGTTTTACCGAAAAAAACTTTTCACGAAGGACAAATATGAAGAATTACTTAGAAGATAAAAAAATATTTTAGATTTTGAATCGAAATTTAATGAATCAATGATTAAAGTTTGTTTAAAAAATTGGAGAAAGAAACCTATTTATATAATTCCTAACCTATTTAACACGATAATTGTGACGTGTAAAAGTAGAATTATGAAATTTTTCCATTACAGACTTTTCAGCCGAATGAAAAAAATAGTTACGATTAATTATCCCGTATTTTAGATATATTCTCATTATGCAAATACCGATTAAATAAAACTGTCCATTAATATCGATGAAAAACAACTTTTCATCGATATTTAATCAATAGACCGTGACGAAATATAAATTATTAGACG